ATGAGTTATGATTGGTGCACCATTGTTGAGAAAAAGTGCTATATGGCACCTCTTATGGTTCTACATGGCACCATTTGACAAAGTGCTATATAGCACCTGTAAAAATAGGTGCTAAATAGCACTAAAAGTGGTTCCCCTATGATTACAAGCCAAAGAACCGCTTCTGAAACGAGCGCAGCGCGGCTGGTATAAACACAAGCATTGACTAGAGTGGCCGCAATTAGCATTAATTAACTCCCCTGCTCTTTCCTTTACATTTACATGTATTCATTTAGCAGGTGCTTTTATTCAAAGTGACTCACAAAAGATGAATATCAAAAGAACACACTGAAAGGTCATCTTTCATATGATGAGCTGTCTGTGAATTCCCTGACAATTACAGCTGATGTTGTCCTTCCCACGTGTAGTCATGTGTAACCTTCCTTGAGTTTTTTGTGTCCCTGTTGTAAAATGGTAAAGTAATTATGACTGGAGCCATTTACATAAAAGTCCAGATTCTTGTTTAAATTACAGGGCGAGGTGGAAGGTAGAAAATACTTGTGTTAAACTAAATTCCATAATAAGCAAGGAGTTTTTTATTAGCAGTCATTACTTCAAGTTTCAGTATTCTGAGGAGGTTTTTATTAGCAGTCATTACTTCAAGTTTCAGTATTCTGATTGGCTAAAGCATAGATAAACATTATGCACCATGAAGTGTAAATGTTGAACATTTTATGTTTTTATAGTTATGTGTGATTTAAATAAATACTTTTTTTCAAACCTTAACAGTACTTCACTCACCCACGTTTCTGTTTGGTACAGATATGGGAGCTTTACCTGCAAACCCATGTGAGATTGCTGTATGATTCATCTGCTTTTATATAATACATTTCCTTTGTATTCCTCTCACTTATAATTAACTAGATTATAATTGAACTATATTTAGAGTAGTTTTGTCTTTTGATAAGATGTAGTGAATGGAGTTATTCAGCATCTCAAATGTTAATTAAAAAATGAATGCTTTAGCTTTCTTTCCTGAATATATGTTGTATAATATGAAATATATGCATTTTGTAAATTGTCATTCCCCTTGTCTTAAGGAGTTGGCATGCCACCTGCTGGTGCATTAATGTATAAAATAATGAGTCAATGCATAATTGGTGTTTAGTTTTGAGGCCCATGCATTTTAGTAAAATGGATTTAAAAGTGTCTGGCACAATTGATTTCTGTCTATTTTTCTGAACGCCATCTAACACAAATCTCTTTTTCAGCTCCATGAAAATGACCACCTCTGCAGATGATTTATTTAGTTCCCAGATATGTGTATATTCTATAATCTATCAAAATTGCTTCCCCTCCTCTTCGTGAGGATTGTGCTTTGTGTGGCTGCATGCAATAATGCAGAATATGAAATTGATGGAGAGTGTTGCCCGATGTGTGATCCAGGTAAGTCCTGGATAAGATTGCTCTTCACTCAAACCCACAATAGATAAAGATGACCCCAGATACTTAAAGGGGTCATATATGATACTTTTTCATTATAGGCTTTAAATTGTATCATTCATTATTACTGATGAACAACTGTAATATGCTCATAAAATAATCTATGTTTGAACAGAAATTAATAGAGCCCGACCGATATATCGTTTTGCCGATATTATCGGCTGATATGAGCCTGACGCTGATATATCGGTATTGGCGAATATGCCGCCGATATGAAATTTTTTTTACAGAACATATAACGCAGATAAAATGCTTGAAATTGTGTAATTACTTAGTTTGTCTCAGTAAGCTATGTCATTACTTCAAGTTTCAGTATTCTGATTGGCTAAAGCATAGATAAACATTATGCACCATGAAGTGTAAATGTTGTACATTTTATGTTTGTATAGTTATTTGTGATTTAAACCTTCACAGTACTTCACTCACCCACGTTTCTGTTTGGTACAGATATGGGAGCTTTACCTGCAAACCCATGTGAGATTGCTGTATGATTCATCTGGTATTTATATAATACATTTCCTTTGTATTCCTCTCACTTATAATTAACTAGATTATAACTGAACTATATTTAGAGTAGTTTTGTCTTTTGATAAGATGTAGTGAATGGAGTTATACAGCATCTTCAAATGTTAATTAAATTTGAATTCATAAATATATGTTGTATAATATGAAATATATGCATTTTGTAAATTGTCATTCCCCTTGTCTTAAGGAGTTGGCATGCCACCTGCTGGTGCATTAATGTATAAAATAATGAGTCAATGCATAATTGGTGTTTAGTTTTGAGGCCCATACATTTTAGTAAAATGGATTTAAAAGTGTCTGGCACAATTTATTTCTGTCTATTTTTCTGAAAGCCATCTAACACAAATCTCTTTTTCAGCTCCATGAAAATGACCACCTCTGCAGATGATTTATTTAGTTCCCAGATATGTGTATATTCTATAATCTATCAAAATTGCTTCCTGTCCTCTTCGTGAGGATTGTGCTTTGTGTGGCAGCATGCAATAATGCAGAATATGAAATTAATGGAAAGTGTTGCCCAATGTGTTATCCAGGTAAGTCAGATACTTAAAGGGGTCATATATGATACTTTGTCATTATAGGCTTTAAACTGTATCATTCATTATTACTGATGAACAACTGTTATGCTATATGCTCATAAAATAATCTTCTATGTTTGAACAGAAATTACACTTGTGGTACATTCCCTTCATCTGGTATAAAATAATGTATAGAAACAACTAGGGCATGCCAGGTGTTGAATTACAGTGTGAAATCTATTTATATAGTACACAGTTTTATTTCTGATTCTATTTTTTATTATAAGTCACTTATTTGACAGATATTATTATAGCTACATAATCCACAAATAGATTTCAAGGTCTAGGTTAGTGGTTTCCAAGATGGAAGATGGTTTGGAATCACTGATCTATCCATCATTGCATTAAACACAACATGACTCCAGTCTAGGGTTGGGTATTGATGCAGATTTCCTGATTTATTTCACTTTGATTCTGATTCGCAAACATTCACAACTTGTCAAGTTGTTCAGCAGAAGCAGATATCCCTGAAAATAGGCATAAAGTAAAAAAAGAGGTCAAAAACCAATATTGGGATTGTTCATAACAAGATCCCGATTAATTAGAAAATCTGTGTACCCAGCGTTATTACAGTCTGATTATTTTGATTATTTATTCTATGCTATTTTCTAAATCAGAAAAATATTTATTGGCCAAGTGTGCACAAGCACACAAGGAGTTTGTTGTGGCGTTAGAAATGTACTTAACATAAAATCAAGATACAGAACATAAGAAACATACAAAAATTTTTTTTTAAGTCTACACAGTTTATAGAAATATACAGACATACAGTAATTGCAACTTATACAGTTACAAATACATGCAAAAGTTATGTACATATGGCATGTATAAATAATAAATGTGCTGGCAATTTTTTTTATATTGTCTAGGAAAGCGAGTTCATAAACATTGTGATAAGTACACAAGCACAACATGTGATTCATGCCTCGTGATGACTTACACTAATGCTCCTAATGGATTTACAGAATGTCTACCCTGTTCTGTCTGTGATGCAAGTGAGTAAAACTTTCTTTCTTAGTGAGTCGTCATGCTTTCATGCTTTCAAATATATTGTAATTTTTTTTTCTCTAGCTGACTTGACATTGCCAGGTTTTCTACAATTGACTCATTCGTTTGCTTTCTTGTCAAAGGTAATGGGCTGAGAGTAAAGCAGACATGTACATTAATATCAGACACAGTGTGTGAACCTCTGCCAGGTTATTACTGTATAGACTTGCTCTATAACTGTAAAAGGGCCATGAAACATTCATCCTGCTCACCTGGACAATACATCAACCAAACCGGTCAGTCTTTTATCAGTCGAGCAGCTTTAATATACATCCATAAAAACTGAGAACAATAACTCTGCTTGCATTTATATTAACTCTTTATTGCTCATGTACTGATGCTGTATTTTTAAATTGCATTTGTGTAGGAACAGAGTTCAGAGATACAGTGTGTGATTACTGTCCTGCTGGTTCATATTCAAATGGTACATTCTGCAAATTGCATACAAAGTAAGTATTAATATTTTAAAACTCTGACACCTTCTTAAATTAAATTTGTTGTTTTTTAATTTGCTTCAGTAGATTTTTTTTCTCATGAGATGTATTTGTAGTTCATCTTGAGTACTGTATCTCTCTCTAACAGCTGTGCATCTCTTGACAAAATAACAATCAAGGAAGGAACAGATAAGACTGATGCTGAGTGCAGTAACAGAGCACCTTCTTATTTACTGCCACTGATTCTGTGTGTGTGTGGAGTGTGTTCGCTGTCGCTTATTGTCATAATTGTAATTATTGTAAGGAAAAAAATTAAGCAAAATAGTGGATTAAATCGAGTTACAACTCAAGATTTAGACCTGTAAACTTTGTTTTTAATCATGTAATGTTTTTAAATAGTAATTACTGTTTCTACTATACGTTTAATATTTTTTCATGAGCACCAAAATCAAGCTGGTCCTCCCTCTGACCAAGTTATTTGCTCTCTTGGCTAATGTTTATAGATTAAACTTGTATAAATGCCAGTCAGAAGTTGCATAGATCCCCCAGCAGATCTTTTATCAAAGATTCAGTCATGTTTAGTGGACTTTTTTTGGGACAAGCTGCACTGGGTACCAAAAGTGTATTGAACCTTCCTAAAGAAGAAGGAGGACTTGGACTGGTGCATCTACAAACATTCAGTGCATACAAAGACTTTTAACAGGCTCGGAGAACCCAAACCTCTACACTGAGAGGGTTTGAAGGACTAGGATTGGATAGAGCCTCACTGTGATCCTCAGAAGCTGAAACTCTCCAAGTTTCCTGTTTTTTATCAAATCTTTTTAAAGTGTGGGCCTTGTTCAAGATTCCAAAGAAGAGGACTGTGAACACTTTGTTCTGGCTGTTGCACGAGGCGTTTATTTTGGGCTCACGTTTGGCCTTGTCCAGTGAACTGAGTTACTTTGTGACAGACGAGAATCTTCTCAACTCTGGAGCTAACTTTATAGATGTTCAGTGACTGAGAAGCTGGGGTTGAGATCTACTCGTTTGGTTGCCAGAACACTTGACAAGTGGAGGACCGCTTTGTCTGAAAAAGAACTGAAATTGTTATTGGATTACTCACTGGGGTTTATTAATCCAGATTGTACTGATTATTTTCCCGAGTTATATTTAACTCCCTTAATGGACAATTGTGGAGGCTGTTTCTTAGAGGTTAACAATTTGATTGTGATGCGCTCAGAATGCTACTTCTGGAAAGGTCTGTTACAAAATCTGTGTTAAAATCTTTAATAAGAAGACCTTGGATAAAAAAATTTGATACTGCTTGGCGTGGTATGCTTCATTTGAAAGAGAGTGAAAAACCTGAGTGGAGAGCAGTGTTGGGTGTAACGCGTTACTAAGTAACTGTACTGTACTGTACCGTTACTGTAATTAAATTACTTATCTGCTGAAAAATTAAAGTAAGGGATTACTCTTCATTTTTAGGTAATTTAATTACAGTTACTTATATTGTACTTGCGTTACACATATTGTAAATAATTTCAACAGTTTTGTATATATCAATATTGAATTTAAAATCTAAATTTATCGTCTAAAGGTAAAAGTGAACACTGCCTCTTTAAAATCATCAGCTGTATTGCATTTGCGCGTGAGTTCGCGCCAGTTGGCTGGTAGTCCCTGAAGTAGAAGATGTCAGCTGAACCGGGTGGCTGTTTTGCCAAATGGAAATATTCCAATTACTTCACTTTTTTAACACAGGTAGACAAGAACATTACTGTAAAATGTAAGCTATGTCCTGGTGAGAAAAAAACTATCGGCCGCTGTCAATTCCACAAGTAATCTACTGAAGCACTTGACAAGGCAGCATCGACAAACACTTTTGAGTGATCCATGTTCATCGACAGATAACACTGCGGCAACCCCTGCTAAGCAGGCGAAGCTTGATTTTACATCGGCAGTGCAGAAAGTGTCCGAAGGTGAGCTAAAAAAAATAATTGCAGGCTACATAGTGGAAGAGATGCTACCGCTGCGTACGGTAGAATCGCCGTCTTTTAGGCGCATATTAAACAAAATACCTGTGTGTGGTAAAAAGGAAGTCCTGCCTGATCGAAAAACATTTTCGTCTTACTTAGATAAGTGTTACACAGATATGGAAATTGAGCTTAAGAAGACATTCGAGAGTTTGGAATATATTTCCACGACTGCCGACATTTGGACGAGCA